AAGATCCAGTATGAAGGAAAGTCACTACTTCTGACACAGATCAGAAGTATCTATAAATTTAAACGATGCAGGAAGGCTCTGAAACAAGGGTAGCACTTCTAGACTGCTGCTTGGATTTTCAGCCTCAGATTCCATTCTTGGTAACCAGGCTTTTTAGAAGAAAGCTGAAATACTCATTCTCCTTACATAAGCTATTTATGAGTCTTCTAGACTTGACCTTTTGCTGGACTCTTGCATGTTCTCAGCTAATCCTCTTTCCTTTCAGACCACTTCCTGGCTGGGAGGTATTCTCTCCTCTTGTGTTTTATGGCCTCTCTGGGCCTTGGCAGGCAGGCGGAACTCCTTATAGGCGAGATGAATACTGTCTCTGACATGCTTTATGAGACTCGATAGTCACACACAACCTATTAACCGTACCTTAGCGTGCCCAGCAGTAGTCTAGCTTCAGGTCAGAATTTATGTTTGTTTGTCATATTTTTAAAACCATGGTGTCATCTTTATTATTTCTATTATTAATAAATATATTGAGACAGTTCTTCAAATACTTGGCACATATGAAATCTGTTTTCCTTAAAGTTTTAGTGCCCTCCAGATTTACAATAATACAAAATATATGTAGTCACTACTATGGAGAAAGAATAACTGAAACTTACTCTTGGCAAGAGATTGTGTGTAAATGCAATCTCTTGTATTTATTTCCTTTCCATTTTTATACGAGCGTAGGCAGTGCCCAACGTGCACGAAGCTTCTACGTGTTATGGAATAAGAAATGTTTTCATTGGAGAGGCAGAACAAAATTTTCAATCACTTATTTAGAAATGCGTAGATGCATGGGTGAACACAAAAGAAGACTGTTATAATGATACTGCCTGATTTGTTCTCATTTTCTAACGGATAAATAATAACAAAAGGTAGACTAATGTATTGAATAAAACTACAATATTCCTTCCACTGCGACAAGCTGCTCTACGTGCACACCCACAGAGTGTGAGCTGTATGACTTTATAATCTGTGACAAGTGTGGCTGCTACCACCTTAGGAAAACGACTTTTAACAAATCTAGCTCACTTGGAGGAGAAGTTGAAATTAAATGTATCTTTTAAAAAAACTATGAAGGAATATTTTGTTGTTGCATTAACTCCTAATTTGCGAAGTGCCCACTAACAGCCCCACTACCAATATCCTAGTAGTGAACAAGTGTGCTTTCCCCTTTTGCCATAAGTAAACTGTCATCATTAAAGATTATTTTTGCTATGATGAAATTCGACAGTGAATTAAGAATGACCCCATTTATCAAAAAAAAGCTACTTGATTTAAGTTCCAGCAACTCCCAATGTTTACTAATTAAACCAGGAATAGGATTCAAATTTACCTTGGATTATCTAAGATGAAATTCGAC